GGGGGGGGGGGAGACGGACAGGATGTGAACAACAACCAACAGAGGACAGAGAGCCAAGGCAAAGCAAAGATTAGCGTCAGACGTCCAGTGGTAAACAACAACAACATTACAGCAACATGAGAGGCCACTAGGAGCTGTGGGGGAGCGGGTGAGTGGGGAGACCAAGCTCCAAATACAAATAAGGTGAATGAGGAAAGAATAAATAAATGGCAAAAGCAAACAGAGATCCATCATCCTTTTGTGGTCATTTATACAGTAGGAACCGTTCTTCCGGTGGGGAGACTGAACCCACTCTCCTCCCACTCTTGTTTATGCAAATAAGCGTCCGGAAAAAAAAGCCAGCCGGTGGGAAACAAATGAGTCACAGCTGAAGAAGACAGGAGCCCACTTTATGAATGACCGCACAGTGAAAATTAAAACAGTGGACTATGGCGATGGAGATGGTGCCGGGGTAACCACTTGCAGCCCAAACTAAGCTCATCTGTGATCAATCGATGCTACGCTGAAGGAAAACTAATCAATGTGAAAGGGATGGCAAGACACCCCCTAATTCATCCCCTCGACTTTGGTTTGCACGGGGGAAGGGGTTTGACTCTCAAATGTGCTGTGAATGCATTTTGGCCCGTGGGCCCAGAGTGTCGACAGCCCTTACCTGTTCTGGTAGCTAAAATAAGCACCGTCTCGTTGGATGGTGCATAACTGCTTTCCGTAACAGCAGAGAGTTTGGGGGGAAAACTCATACTGCAACACAAAAGGTGACAGAGAGAAGACGTTTGAAGACGCGTTATGAGAGGAAACTGCACAGAGTAACTCAACAGCAGCCGTCACACAGGCTTACCTGTAACTGTGAACAAAGCTTTTTCAGTACCGTACACTTGAATTTCTTTATTCCTCACACCCAGCCAAATACTAACCCCAAAAAACTCAAACGCCATCAGCCAGCTGTTGTGTTAAACATAGGGAAAGAGGATAGACTGGGGCAGACTGTGCTGAGTTGGACTGTTTGGGCAGACAAGCTGATGCAATCCAGCAGCAATCAAACCCAAAGCTACAGCCAGCAGCTTGTTGGTTCATCCCAATAACAAAAGGAACACTATCCTCTCTCTAAAAAAACCAAAAAGACCCACAAAAACCTCCCTTATAAAAATCCATCTGTAAAATTCCCCGATTACCACTTTACATCTTGGATTTATCTTTTGACACACATCCGTGAGAAAAACAGCCAACTCTGAACAGACTAAATAAACCAAATGTAATTCAAAGAAGTGAGCTTACTTGGCTGTTTTCAGCTCACTTGACAAACCAAACAGGCCTCTGAATTTGAATGTGTACCTGTGGTGCTTTCCCTCATCAGTATTTCAACCATAAAGAGTGAATGGAACTCTTTTCCCATTCCTTTCCATACATTTGATCAATAGCAAAGTGTTACTCTGTTTTTCCCCTCACCTTCATACAATATGATAAGTAATGAAAACAAATCAAACGGCTGTTACCTTCCTCCCGCAGCAGTACCCCAGGCCCTGCATAACGGGGTCGATCTCCACCTCGAACACTTCGGCCAGCTTGGAGCAGTACTTGTACACGCGCGAGGTCTTCCGGTTGTACAGCCAGGCGTTGTTGAACATCAGCCAGATGTCCTCGATGTACTGCCACGGCTCCTGGTACTGGCCGGTGTCCAGCTTCCGCTTGATGGTGGACAGGTCCATGGGGTTCTTCACGATGTCAAAGTAGTCCTGGAATCGGAAGGCGGGGCGGTGCGTGCGTGTGACAGGAGGTGGGGGGGGGGGGGGGGAACGTCGCCGGCGAGGTGGGTCCGAATCGATCAGGTGGGACCAGTGTAGGGAGAGAAGAGGGTGCAGGGGGACAATGTTGTTGAGCGCTGCAGAGAAGAAGGTTCGCGTGCAAACAGAGAGACATGACAACTTCTGCCCCGCAGCCCCTCTGCTTTGGCGCTCTGGGCAGGTGGAAACCACCCACAGAAGCAAAAACGCACTTTCACACCAAGCCCAGCGGCAGCAGAGATCAGTTAGCCCTACAGCTGGAGAGAGGCGCTACATTTCCAGCCTCGGATAGAGATCGAGGTGCAAAACTAAGAAGAAAAGAGCAGCGGCATGAGAAAGAGGAGAGGACATCTTTTTTTTTTTTTTTTGGGGGAAAGGGGGGGGGGTTTGTTTGGTTCTTTTTTTTCAGCAATAAATGTGGTGGGGCATTAACAACACCAACAGCTTGAGGGGTGAAAATAAAACGACGGCAGAGTTAAAAGCTGACAGTGCTGGGGGGGAGGCGAATGTAAGCGAGGTGGATGATTTTTTTTGTTCCTGTGGTCTCTTTGACTAGATTTTTTTGTTTGGGTTAAGAAAATCTTTTTGGCGATTTGGTAAAAAAAAAAAAAAAAGGTTAGTTTCATACAAAGAGCGGGGGCCATCTCTGCATCGCCATAGCAACAGTGAGCCACGAACAGACCCTGGTCTCTGAAAAAGGAACCGCTCACATGAACAAACAAGTGACGCACGTGACGGCGACAGACTGCCGGGCCCGGTTTACAGCACGGCGCCGTGAGAGGCACGAGCCGACCTCCAGACGTTTTCCTACCAAAGCGCCCGCCGCTCGCTCGTCACTCGTTCCCGAGCAGGAGCGGACTGACGCTGCGCTGCTCGGTTGTGAAGGCGCCTGATTCGAACGAATTTAAGAGTACAGATCCACCTCTACACACTGCCCACCTGGAACACTGTCAAACCACTACTGGCGAGGAACTGAACTAGAAAGTGAGCCATGGAATGCTATGGTGGAAGCTTTATGACAAAAATCATACCTTAAACCTGAAAATTGATATCAAAAGAAATTAAATGAAACGGCAAAAATTAAGCAATGAATGAAAGCAATTGGCACATGAACAGTAATTTGAATTTTAAAAAAATATATAACTGTCTGTCTTTTTAAAGTATTGGGTTCATACACCAAACTTAACACCTACAATGCCCGGGGCTCCAGACTGTGACCATTATGGTGGTCTTTTTATGAGGGGACTGTGACATAAATTCCTAATGGGGCACTGCTGTACGACGACTTTTAAATTTGCCCGTCGTCATCAGAACTCACCGGTGTGTCATATGTGAACGAGGAGAGCTTCCAGGAGACTGCTATAGCTGACAGGTGTGCAAAAATGCTGTTTCAGCTTTCAGGAGTAGGGAAATATAATTGAATAAATGGAATCTGTGGAACAAATACACTTTTTCAAAAGCCCTTTTCCTATATTGGTAAATTCTATAAGATGTTTGTAGCCAAAATAAGTAATTCAAGGTAAAAGTAGGAAAAGTTCTGGAGCCCTGAATAGTGTGGCAGATGTTTGGGTCATGTTATATTCTCTTTCTCTCATGTTATATCCAGAGCTGGTAACGTCTCTGAGGCCAAAATATCGGACATGTTTGACATCTAAATTGCTTATATGTTCATTAGGGCCAATGCTTTGCTTTGCAAATGAAACATTGATTCAAAGAAGACAAACAAAAACACACCGGCACACATTTGCTAACTTTATGCATGCAGTGGGGCGAAGCTAAACTATATGAACAATATCTAAGCAGTTATGTGGTTGGAAAAAAAAATGCAGACAATGAAAAAAAGGAAAAAAATCTTGCATGGAAAAACAAAAATAAAAACAGCAAACTAAAAAAAAAAAAAAAAGAGGCTAAATTTAATGAGATTTGAAGCAAAAATGGCAGCCAGTGCAGTCCCTTACCAGGTTAGTTTTGTTACTAGTTCGAATACGTACGGGTATTCCCAGTAACTGGGGGTCCACCGGCTGACGGAAGGGAAGGGACTCAGGGTCCTGGCGGTACAAAGACTCCAAGGTGGGCATCAGAGCCTGACGCAGCTCCTCCGGCTTAAAGACTGGGAAGAAAGTGTTGGGTGACACATGAGCAATGAAGGAAAGTCGGGAATGAGAGGAAGACACCAGGTGTCCGGGTGCTAAGGAGGCTGCAGCTGAGCAAAATCCACAGATCCTAAATCTGCCTTGTTCAGCATTCCCACAGTACAGATGGGACAAAGCACCCAGGAAAATTCAGGGCAAAGTGTCATTTATTCCGTTTTTCCCTGCTGTTCTCCTCTGATTTCAACCCGTTTTCCCCCCACTTCACATCATATGATTCAATAAAAAGTCATAGAGGGAAAATAAATGAATAAATACAGCTCCTGGACAGTTGTCAGCCCAACACAGGAAAAAAATGCTCACCATTTTTATCATCTAGATGCATTTATAACTTGATTTCTATATATTGATCAGTCGAGCTCTCTTTCACTTGCTGATGAGATACTCACGGCACAGCCAAGACTCAACACTTACTTTTCTTCTTGCTCTGAGCGCTGGCTGGGGAGCTACTGGTAGCCGACGACCCTGACCCTTCCTCTTCCTCTTTGGGCTCCTTCTTCACCTCGGGCTTGACGTCCTCACCGGTTTCCGCCGACGATGACCCAGAAGACGAGCAGGTATCCATGGGTTCACCTTTACACCCATCACCCGACGGCTTTTCCTTCTTTATCTGAAGAAGATTAAAAAGGTGTAAGAACACAGATATACTTTTTTTGTTGACAGGCCTGATGTCACATCAGAGTATATTACCTCTGGCTTCTCCTCGGTCTTCACATCAGTGTGGCCCCTGCCTATCTTCCCCTTGCCGTCACCCTGGGCGTCAGCTCCTTCATCCTCCTCATCTGGCTGCTTCTTCACCTCCGTTTTGACATCTTCCTGGCTGGGTGTGGGGCCGTCCGCGGGGCCCAGCTGAGAGCTGGGCTCGGTGCTGCTCGTGACTGAAGCTGGAGTAGAAACCTGAGCATCTGCGGTCAGCGAAGGCTTCTGGGAGAGCTGGGGAACCAAAGAACGGAGAGGGAGCGAGCAGAAATGTCGTTAGACTACTTATATACGCAAACTGTTTCCAATCAGGGTTACTTGACATTTTAAAAGAAAAGCTGTTCCCTTCTTTTCGGGTCTCAAGCTCAGTAAGAACCAGTAAAAAAATTCAACAATCAAAAATTAAAAGTCTGGGATGTGTTGTGGACGTACCGGGGTCTGCGGCGTCTTTATTGGCACGTGAGCGTTCTGCGTTGGGACCGAGGACGGCTGACCTGCCTGGGGCCCCGGGGAAGCCACCACGCCAAGCGTCTGCGGCGGATGCTGATTGGCTTTCTCAGAGTTCAACGTCTTCCCTGACGGCATCTGTGGCTGTGAGGCTTGTTGTTGTTGTTGTTGATGTTGTTGTTGTTGTTGATGATGCTGCTGCTGTTGTTGTTGTTGTTGTTGTTGATGATGCTGTTGTTGATGATGCTGTTGTTGTTGTTGATGATGTTGTTGTTGTTGTTGTTGTTGTTGTTGATGATGTTGTTGTTGTTGTTGTTGTTGTTGTTGTTGTTGTTGTTGTGGCTGCTGCTGCTGGGGCGGGGGGTGCTGCGGTGTGACGGGCGTCTGCGGCTGTGGCGTCTGAGAGCGAGGCAACGTTGGCGGCGTTTGATGGGGCTGAGGCGTGAGGCTGCGTGCTGGTGACGGAGAGTTCGTTCGGACGGGCGGGCAGTGAGGGAAGGAGTTGGGCTGGGCGGAGGAGGGAGGAAGGCTTGGTAGAGGCCCAGCGCCGCCAGTGTTGGAGGGTCCCATGGAGCCCCCGGGGGGGCCAGAACCCGGGACAGATGAAGCAGACTGTGCTGCAGGGCTGCCGGCCGGGAGGGAAGGTAGTGATGGCATCTGGTTCTGCCACAGAGGAGGGACACAGGGCATATTTCTGAATATTGATATTCTCTTTTTGGACTAATTGAAACTAATGAATCTTGAAGGCAAAGTGTAAAAAAAGAGGAAAGTCTTCACTGGCTTTATCAAAGTATGACAGAAGTACTTCTGGTGCTCCAACTGAAATAGTGGTAAAAAGTAAGCTTCATTTGAACGGGTGGCAACTAACCCTTACCAAAGGCACAGATGTCTGTGCTCCGGACTGGTTCATGCCGACAGGCCCAGAACCGAGTCCAGGACTGGAGCTGGGAAACTGCCCAGGAGGGAGGTATTGGTTCTGTAGCTGCGCGGCATTGGGCTGACCCATCCTTGTCGCTCCCATACCCATCTGGAAACACAGAAAGAGGACATGGGAACAAATCGGCTTCATGAGTTTTTTTCTTTTCATTCTCTAGGGATTTACTCCATCCAAATTCTCATAACCCTGAAGTAAAAAACGGCAGGATCGTAACCTGGTTTAATTGAGGATTGAGAGGAAGAGGAGGCGTCGACCTCTGACCCATCGACTGCATCCCCATTTGGCCAAACTGGTTCATTCCTAAAAGTGCAAGAGGTCAGAAGTTAGATGTAAAAGTGAAGTGCAGATTTAGAATTGTCAGCATGCTGCCAGTTTCCAGTTATTAGCAATGTACCTGTTGGGCTCTGCATCCGATTGACCATCTGATTGGGACCTGGTGGTCTGACCATGGACGGATCAGCGAGGGGACCATCTGACAGGGAGGAGACAAATGATTGTAGAAACCACAGATCGCATCTTAAGGACAGTGCAAACAAAGGGAGGGGGAGCGCCATCAAATGTTCAGAAGTGTTTGGAAAAGGGTCTGCAGGCATTGACTCACTGGGGGGTTGTCCGGGGGCCATGGGTGGCTGTCCCATGCCAGGTGGTCCCTGTGGGAGGCCCGGGGAGGCTAGGCCCGGTTGACCGGGCATCATGCCCTGTTTCTGGAGACGTGTCCTCCTCTTCTCTTCAAGCTCCTTCTGGATTTTGTAAATCTTCTCTGCCAGAAGGTGGTAGTACTCCGCCTGGGAGAGACACAGCGGGAGGGGTTAGGCGACCCATCCCAGCGACGGTGGCCGCGGCACGCCCACTTGGACTGTAAACTTTTCTCACCCTGCTGTTGGCCGACTCGTACATGTCCCCTTCTACTTTGCGGGCATAAGCCACCAGATTCTCCATCCGTCTGTCCTTCAGAGCAGCGGGGTCGGGAGTGGGGAAGATGGCCTGCACGCTGCTCACACAAACAGGGAGAACACAACAGTCAACACAGCAAGCGCTGCAAACATCCCGGCTTAGATCTTTTTGCAAAAGACGCGGGCAGACTCACAGCTTGTGGACAAGATGGTTGCGGAGGTCTTGGGTGATGTCTTCATGCCAAGACTTCCTCATCCCCGCAGCAGAGGGAGGAGCGGCCGTGGGCATGGATCCCAGGTTCCCCACACCGTCGCTCATCAAACTGAGGAGAGACAGACGAGAGGGAGTTGGGATTTGTGGCAACGTGGGACTAACTCTTTCTGGCGTTCACAGAAAAGCCGCCCGACCTCTGTGCGTTCATGCTGCTGTGCAACATGCCGTCCGGCAGCTGCGGGGACTGTTGGTTGGGAGGCTGCACCCCAACGCCGCCGTTCACTCCCATAGAGTTGCCCCCTGGAAAAAAATAAAAGACGGCAAGAAAGTTACAGAAACCGCTCTTTCCTCATGGATATACTGACAATATTGTTGAAACAAAGCTGCCGTGCTAAACATCTGAACATTGGTAGTTCTGTGGCCTGACGCAAAAGTGAGTCAATGTTCCCCTCGATTTTTCTTTTTCTTTAGCAGTGTAGGAGTTCGCTTTAAGCCTGGAGACAGTGAGCTGTACTCTGCAACATGGTGATTGAAACAAAACACTGCTGGAAAATCATCCAAAGACGTGCTAAGAAACTTGGGAAGCAGCATCTAAAGTCAATGATTAGAAGCACTATAAAGCTGTTTGATATAGGGAAAAATTTTTTTTGCACATGCTGCCACAAAGCCACGAATCGGCCTATCCCTGATTGCATGATATCATGACTAAACGTACCCATAGTGTTCAGCGTCCTCATCCCAGGCTGGCCCTGCAGCCCCTGGTTCTGCATGCTGGCCTGCGACGGCTGCTGGGGCGTCTGGTTGACCTGGTAGGGCAGGCCTAGCGCTGCGTAGGCCCTCTCTATCGAGCTGGGGTCAATCTGGTTGGCAGGGTTCAGGTTTGGCGTGTTGGCTTGTCCACCTGGCACGCCTGGACCTAAAGCGTTCACCAACCCAACCGCCGCACTATTCACAAGAGCTGAGGCCATGTAAGACAGGAATAAAGAGCGAGAGAGAGAGAGAGAGAGAGAGAGAGAAAGGTGGGACGTTTAATGGCAGAATGCGAGAGCAGGCTTCATTTTTCGTAATAAAAATTGTGCTTTGATTCAATTTCATTAACATGCAACAGTTCAGGACAGTCATAGCGAGAGTCACTCACACTGCTGGTTCCGCTTGTCTCCAGCGTTTTTCAGTGGTAGGCAAACAGGACAGTCGTGCCGTGTGCAGTTCTTCCAATGAGATATGATCTGTCTGGATGAGGCACAGTGCGCCACTGCGGGACGAGAGGCAAAAGAGGAGAAAAGTTTCAGAAAACAGGAAGCCAAAGTAGAGAGAGCCAGTGAGATGGGAAATTGTGACAGGGTGAAAGATGGAGATGAAGGATAAGACAAGGATAGGATGGGGAAACATAAAAAAAACATGTCAGGAGGAAGACGGAGAAGGCAGAAACTAAGAAAGTTACAGTATGAGTCATTAGGCACAATAAAACCACGTCCAGATGGAGAGAGGAGGGAAAAGAAAAATGACAACAGTACAGATGAAGGGTGAATGATTCGATACAAAAAGAAAGACAAGGAGACACACCAAGACACATCAAACACTAAAAGGTGGAGTAGAGGGGAAAAAATATTTGCCCCGGGTACATGGCGACTTTAAAGCCCCCTCCGCGTTTGCGCTATGAGCCAAACGGCACCAAACCAGCAATCGGCGTAACTTCAGACTCACCCTGGCAGGACTTGCCAGCCTGGCAGTGAGTCATATGGTTGAGCACGTTCTTCATGGTGCGGCAGTGGGGCAGGTTGCACTGCCACACCTCCCCGTTGGCCTGCTCCCGTCGCTGGCACTTGTGCGCGTGCAGCAGGAGGACGAGCTGCTGCTGAATCAGCTTTCGCTTCTCGGGGTCGGCGGTGGGGGGGCCGGCGCCGGGTCCCGCTCCCACTGCGTTGAGTCCGACCTGTGGGCCGCCAACGGACACACCTCCGACTGCTCCCGCCTGCTGCTGGGGTGTCTTTAAAAGAAAAAAAAAGGGTGGGTAGTGACAGATAAGGGATGAGATTTTAATAAATACCTGTGAACCACTTTAGAATAGCATTTAAGTGAGAGAAAGGGAACATTTATAAATATAGGATATGCATTTACTGAAAAGTACAGCAGATGATACAGTAGAAAAGCATGTGAAGCTATTTTTAAAGTTTTTTTTAGATGAAAATTATCAGAAAAGCAAGTGAAAAGCACTCCTCTTCCTACACTGAAATCCATTCAGAACGACTGAGTTCTTGCTAGGAGTATGGACCCTTTGAGTTAACTGGGAGTTATCATAACCTTCTGCAGGCCTAATGCATCAGCAAGCGATGGAAATACTACTGACGAGACTAAAGCGAGCGTTTCCCAGAGCAAGGTACTAATGTGCACGCCCGCCCGTACCCACAGGTGCCTTTACTTTTTGAGGGGAAACTCAAACGTTCCACCGCGCTTGCCAGTTTTCAAAAATACATTTAAGAATTCAAAGTAAAAACTGACTCAACTTGATGAAGAAAAAACGGGAATTGATGAGACTCGGCAGAGGTTGTCCACCAGCTGAGGAGCGTTTTATTCTTCATCATGCCGAATTGGCTACATGTCAGTGTATGTTCAACAAGCGAGATGAAACTGGCTGAGCGGTTTTGTACCATGCAGAAAATTGTCGAAAAAGTTTTAGATAACCGTCATCAAAGCGGCTAGTAAAGGGTCACAGAGCCCTCAACAGTCCCGTAAGGCTCTATATAACTAGCGTTTTTTTCCTCCAACTTACCCAGACATAATCAGAAAACAATCTTATTCCTTTGAAAAAAATTGTTTTTATTCATAATGGTCGAGAGTGGCCCAACACAATGGCTATGTGACACAAAAACACATAAAGCAAAGAAGTCAACCATTGTGGAAAGGCCGTGCCCCTTAAATTGTTATAGTAGTAAAGCAAAGCTATTTCTGCTCTGTATGTTTTTACAACTTCACATCTTTAGTGATTGGAGGCATTTTTTTTTAAGTAAGGGTTTATAGTCATAGTTGGGTTTTAAGCTATTTGTCCAGTTTGTTTATGCTAAAGAGATTTGATGCCCACATCTGTACAGTACAAAAATGAGCCCTACCATCCCAGGTAAGCCTTGACCAGGAGATGCCTTCTTGTCCATGCTGAACTGGGCGGCCATATTGTTGGGCAGACCTGCCTTGTTCTGGAGCTGTGGGCCCAGCCCGGCTCCAGGCAGTCCCTGGCCAGCAGCCTGGCCGTACGGACCGCCATAGGGGCCCGCATTGGCCATCATATTCATCTGGGGGACGATACAGAAAAAGATGAGAGGGTCAAACAATGTCATTTGACAAAAAAAAACAACACACACACTAAAAGAGTCAGGAGACATTTTCCCCTCTTTTGACATTTGGTGAAGAAGTATTTTGGCTGTTGCAGAGTCGTCTCGAGCAATACTAAACCTGAACGGTGCTAAAGCCCATCAGAAAACTGCTTCAAAAGAAACATAAAAAGGCACCACAGAATCAAATCATGAGTGCTGTGTTTAGATTGCAGTTGTGTGGTTAAAATGTTAGGTCAGCTCCCTCCTGTTTCTTTAAAACTAATCAAAAGGTCAAGCGTCTGATTGCCACCTCTTGAGCCTGGAAAAACTAAGCCACCACCAGCTGCAAACTCAAGCCACCAGTATTCACATTACTTCAACATCTGGCTAATCAAAACATACCTAGAGCTAGAGTCTGGGTGAATCTTTATGATGGGAGGTGAATGTTTTCTATACAGTATTCTCTGTTTCTGAGCTTTGAGCTAAATTCCACTGCCTGGTATTTACTCCTCTCCCAACAGCAAGCCCCGCTTTCTGTTTACCACTAAGCAGCACCTCCAGTTCAAGCTTTTACATAGTGCTCTACTGGAGCTCAGTTATGCCTTCAAACACCTTGAGGACACAAATCACAGCTGCCATGTGGCCTTATTGACAAGAGGGGAGGTTAACCAGTGATACCACACAGCGAGCTGTGATGCGGCTGCGAGTCCAAAACGTAACCACTTTCTTCCCTGCACCTGCAGCGCAAAGTTCATCCTCAGCCGTCACATAAAAGCAGCTCCTACAGCTCTGCCTCGGCTTACAGTTTCTTTTTAAACATTTTTTTTTATGTGGTTTCAACATTAACCCGCACAACACAGTGAGCTATCACTCTTCATACAATAAGTCCCAGTTGTCCCGGCAAACAGGTTTAAGAGGAAAAAAAGTCTCATTTCTCTTTAGTGACAGTGACATCCTTGTTTGAACAACCTATGTTAACATTACTGTTGTATATTTGATGTGCGAATGCGGGATGGGCATCTTATTACAGTACAGTACAGTTCAAATTTGAAACGGATAAATCTACCAACATGCAATACACTGTAGAAATTGAGACGCCCATTTCCAACCAACAACCAGTGTGTGTGTGTGTGTGGGTCTGCGGGCCTACCTTGTTCAGTGCCCCCGGCTGCTGTGGTCTCATCCCCGCTTGACCCCCGGGTCCCATTGGCTGACTAGCCTGCTGCTGCTGCTGCTGTAAGGTCTCTGCCAGCATATTATTATTGTTACCCATGCCGCCATTGCCAGGGTACCCCATTCTTGGCGAGCCATTGACCACCTGCCCACCCATCAGCCCTTGCTGCTGCGGTCCAGTGTTGGCCTTTTGGCCGCCCATCATGGCTGCTGTCCTATTGAGCGTCGCCATGCCTCCGCCCATTCCAACCTGGTGCATTAATCCAGACTGTTGCTGGCTCTGGGGGTGATGGCCTTGAGGTCCACCCGGAGAGACGCCGACGCCGCCCATCATTCCCATGGGAGGCCCGGACAGCGCGTTGTTGGACGCGGGGCCGCCCGGCTGCCCCGACGCTCCCGAACGCAACAGCTCGGACAGCTGTTTGTGTTTCGCGGCTGCGTCCTGGCCACCACCGCCAATCCCGCCTCCGAGCGCCCCAAGACTGGTATGGAGCTGGCTGACATCCCCGCCATTGGTCAGCCCCATGTCCGAAGAACTGATGAGCTCATCTGGCAGGTCATGCTCCAGGTCAAAGAGTGAACCAAAATCTATTCAGGAGGGGATAGAAACAACGACAATTGATTAAAATCTCACCAATAACGAAGCGAATTGAATATGTTTTCACTTGCATCACTCTGCGAATATCTACAGAAAACGTATACATCTGTAGCTGCCATTTCTCGCAACCAAGACCCGTCTCATGGGCATCAGTCTGAGGTTTGGTCTGGTTCCATACAAGGGGAGCAAACAGTGAAGCCACGGTGAAAAGCCACAGATTGTAAACAGTGCGCTACCCGTGTGGGTTTGCGCAGCAGTTACAGGGAAGAGGAGAAGTGTGAGAAGTTCTGTGCTTTGGGTGGGAAAACTCATTTAAAAGGTTTTCAGAAAAGGGGAAGAAAACTTCTGAAGTTCAGGTCTAATGGTCTGCCTCGCTATATAAGACCAACATATCTCTGAGACTTTCAACTTCAACCTTAACCGTGCAGTAGGAGCCAAATCTATGGGTAAATGGTGGAGGAACTGAGATTGAAACTCGTGTTAACTAGAGGTCTGAAAACGGTCTCAGCCTATAATCTCGTCACCGTAGCCAAAGGGAGCGTGCAACGAGAGGAAAATGCCTGGATTTCATGGCTTTTTGCTTAAAAAAACAGACAATTAAACCATTTACAGATATAGTTGCATTCACAAGCAAGTGAAAACAAGACAAACGGTGCAGGTAATGCACTTTGTTTTTGGTTTTTTAGGGGCGTTATGTTGGAAAGTAGAGAGCAAAAAGAGTGCAGCGCGGTGTCACCGTGTAGTCAGACAATGGAGGGCGAACAAGAATGGGCTTTGTACTATATTCGTTTCTACAGCTTAAAAAAGACCATTTTGACCATGAAGGTGAAGAATAAAACGTTTTAAACAATACGGCTGCCTCGCATTTCCTTCAAACACGGTAGAACGAGCACAAATGCTCAGAGCTACAACTTCGGTGGGACGACAACGCTTCGCCCAACTTAATGAAGTGTCGAACAATGGCTAGCTTGACAATAGTTCTCTACAAATGTGAGAGCCCTCGCGTTGGGAACACAAAACGGCTGGAATAACGGCCATTCACTTCACATACAGAGAGAGATTACCGACGCCAAATACGCCGTTTGACCAAATAAAGCTTTATCTAATCGTCGCCTTATTTCTCTCCAGAGCTCAGCTGAGCCGCTCCGGTGGGGGTTATCTTTTAGCTAGTTAGCTACCTCGCTCGCTGCCTTTACTTTCACTAAATGCTCGCCTGGAACGGCTTCATTTTCCACCGTCTGAACCGAATAACCGTGAAACGTCTTATTTGACGCACAAGCGCCTCCGTGGTTTCGTTCGATTAACTTTTGAAGTGTCGGAACAACTTGAAGCAAACGGGGTATCTTGATTCCTCCATTGTTTGGAGGTGGATCATTTAGTTGGGGCTAGTTAGCCTGTTGAGGCTAACGCATCAAAACAGAACTGTTTGGAAAGTTGCTCTGCTCCGGGCGCTCGTCGCCTTTCTCCCTTAGTGGCTCCGATATTCCACCATGGCACATTCTCAACCGAGCTACGAACACATTCGCGTTTAAAAGCATCCCTTTTGGGGCAGAAGTGTGTTAAGACTCAACTAAGTTATTGTGCAACTCCACGGGGACCTCCGACACTGACACGGTAAACCACCAAAGAACCAACAACGTAGCTAATATATGCGTTATTGTAGTAATGCATGCAGTGTATTTACCATTTCCATCACTCGCAGATAGAGACAGAGCTGGTGAGGACAGCTTGGGCCTCTTGGCTGAAGGCGGGCCGGACTCCAGGACATTATCGGCCATATTTTTGACGAATTAAAAAAAAAAAAAAAAAAGGGGGGGGTTTGCAGATCCACTGAGGGCTGAACTATTTTCCTTTTTTTTTATTTCCGTCTCCCACTCCCTTGGAGAAGTGTTTCTGATCGGTCCCCCACCGCTCGGGGGGACGGTAGGGGAGAGGACGGCAGTGTGGAACTCTTTCAGTTCTCCCTCTCGGTGTGGAACCTCTCTGCAGATATCGGCCCCCCTCCCCTGTCTGAGATTTTGCTCCTTCGCAGATTTGAACGGGGGGGAGGTGGGAAGGTGGAGTCGGCGAAAAGGCGAAGCGTGCGGCCCTCCGACAACCTCATGTAGCCTCCTCCGCGACGCAGAATCCGCCCCGAGCTGCGTCCTCCTGGCTGCGCTCAGCTCCGGCCGCCATAGTCGGCGGGGGGAAACGGAACGCTTCAGATGTGGGGGGGTGGGGGGGCGGGGGTTGGGGAGTGGGAAGCTCCAGAGGTGACAAAGTCTCTGTGATGGCACCAAAAAAAAAAAAAAAGGAAAGAAAGAAACGCCAAAGGTATTCCGGTGGAGGCTGGAGGCCGCTACCTCATGCAACAGTTTAAAGCTCCTCGGCGGCGCCGGGCCAGACTTTCGTTGCTGCTTCTTGGTGTCAGCGATTCCAGTACTTTACTAAAGCAAAATGGTACACACTTAACGCGTGGAAGGCGGGGTGTGTGTGTGTGTGTGTGGGGGGGGGGGGG